CATGGGGGTGTGGCCTAATGTGCTAATGAGCCGTGCTGTCAGGGGTGTGGCCCAATATGCTAATGAGTTCCTGTTGTTGGGTGTGGCCTATTATGCTAATGAGTTCCTGCTGGGCTTTTTCTACAAAAAGAGCCCTGACTTCATTTATATCCTGGCCTCTCTCCCCAATGGGGGCACAAAGGAGCTTACATTGCTCTCCTCTCCTCCATGTTATCATCACAACAACCCTGTGATAGGATAGATCCAGATGGGTAGCCATGTCAGTCTGTCTGCAGCAGTAGAAAAGAGCAAGAGACCAGTCGCACCTTAGAGAGTAACAAAATTTGTGGCAGGGTGTGAGCTTTCATGAGTATCTCAAGAAATGAGCAGCGACTCACAAAAGCTCATGCCCTGCCATAAACCTGCCATAAATTTTGTTACTCTTTAAGGTGCGACTGGACTCTTGCTCTTTTCTAATGCCTGTGAGATAGGTTAGGTTGCAAGTATGTGACTGGCCCAGGTAGGGCTGACAGCTCTGGGTTGAGAAATACCTGGATATTTTGGGGGTGGAGCTGGAGAGGGCAGGGTTTAGGGAACGGAGGGACCTCAGCAGGGTATAACGCTAGAGTCCGCCCTCCAAAGCGGCCATTTTCCCCAGGGGAATTGATCTGGAGATCAGTTGTAATAATGGGAGATATCCAGGTGCCACCTGGGGGTTAGCAAGCCTAGGCCCAAGGCCACTGTAATGTATTCAGATGCTGCCCTGAATGCATGAGGATGAACGTGGAATCATCCCATAGAGAAGCTATGCTAAGCTTCAGACGTCGGCAAGGATTCGCACCGAAAGCATTGTGTCCAATCACATTTGAATGTCTGTAAGTGGAAACGCTTATGATTGGTCTGTTATGCGATCAACCTAATAGGTTGATAAATGTATAGTAGGTGTGGCTACATTAGCCCGGAATGTTTAAATACCGAACCGCTACAATGAAAGCTGGTTCGGGCTATCAGAGAAGTTGTACCGTGTCAGAGAAGTTGATCGTCGAGCTGAAATAAACCTGAGTTTTGCTGAAATCACTCTCTGGCTATTTTGTTAAGCACGGACTTAACAGCCACCCAACAAGCTCCTATGACAGAGTGGAGATTTGAACCTGAGTCTCAGATCCTAGCCCAGTACTGTTAACTTCTACATCACATGGGCTCAAAAAAAGAAGAAGAAGGAAATATTACCCCTATTACTTTGACTAGACCACCATGGTAACAGGGGAAGTTGATTCCAACCTACAATATTCCTGTTTTCTCCCAGCTGTGTTATGCTAGTTTATAAACTGAACATTTGACAAAATCAAGGTCATTTACTGACTGGTGTCTACTCAATTTGTAATATACCATCTGTGGACCAAGGCAAGAGTCTTCGTGCCCAAAGAGATCAGGGAAAAATCAAGCAATAAAGGGAAGAGAATGTCTGATATTTGTATAAAATACAATGAATACCTAGATGATATAGGAAGGAAAATAGTATGCATAGTGAAAGGAACCTTTATTGCCTTCCTATAGACCGAGCTTATACTCTGGAGAGGCAGAATATAAATTTCCTAAATAAATAAATACGTACAGACATTAGTTTTTTTGGTTTAAAAAAAAGGGTGCTGGTACTCGTACAAAGCTGCACCGATTTCTACCAATTCCCCCCTCATGATTTGGGAGAGACAACCCCCCCCCCCAATCTAGGCTTGCGAAGTGCCCCCGGGGGGCGGGGAAACCCCCGCCCCAGAGGCCTGTCCCTCGCTGCCGGCGGATCGGGCCCTGGGGAGAACCCCACCCTGACGTGCACGTCACCCGTCACCACTCTATGGCTTTTCCTCGGATGGTCGTGGCCCCGCCCCCAGCATGGTCGCATCGCTGCGGCGAAAATCAGACTTGGCAACCCTATGGTACTCAGTACTGGTAAGTACCACCACAAAAAAAGCCATGCAATGTATTATATTTTGGTTGAGATGATAGGTGAAGAAACAAAAATTCAAGCAGCAATATAACATTACATACAAGTTGCATGCTCCCATATCATTTGAAACACACCAAAACTATGAATGTGATTGCAGAGTCCAACCTCTGAACAGATGGGGAGGGGGAGGTGGGAACCACTTTAAAACCAATTATTAGCAAGAAAAATTGTCTTTTCAAAAGAGGAGGAGGAGGAGGAGGAAGGAACTGTGGCACTGAGAAAACGTGCAATGAAAATGAGTTTCATGAGATGGCTTCACATACCGTAATCTTTTTATGATCCAGAAATTCAAGGCCAAAATAGTCACCTTCGACAAGGTTCAGGTGATTGCAGACTGCTTCGAGCAAAAGGGGGGAGGTGGGAACCACTTTAAAACCAATTGTTAGCAAGAAAAATTGTCTTTTCAAAAGAGGAGGAGGAAGGAACTGTGGCGCCGAGAAAACGTGCAATGAAAATGAGTTTCATGAGAGATGGCTTCACATACCGTAATCTTTTTATGATCCAGAAATTCAAGGCCAAAATAGTCACCTTCGACAAGGTTCAGGTGATTGCAGACTGCTTCTAGCAAAACCTTCCCCGGAGCTCTATGCTGTAATTAAAAACAACCAAAGGTTATACCCTGTTTAGGCTACACATACCTAAAAATCAAGACCATTTAAAAAATACATGACAACAAAAGCTATCTGGTGGTCTCTTCCCACACAAATCAACACAAACAGCAACAAATACACAATTATGTTTTCTTGTTAAGGGAAACAAGTGCTCGTGTTCCGTTTGGATGTTAAAGTGTGGGAGTACAGAGTCAACTGTGGGTTTGATTCTTCTCATTTATTCTTTCAAGAAAGCTAGCACAGTCAAGATGATAAGAACTTATATGGAAGGCATTCTTGAAAACATGTTTTACCCTGCTTTCCTTCAGAATCCAGACTCAAACTGGCTTACATAAGAAACTGTAAAAACAATCATATTTAATGTTCAACAAAGTACCAAGGAAAAAGTCCCCAAAAAAGTGCAGTAAAAGTAGCCATAAATCCACAAAATCACCTGGTACGCTAAAACCAAGCCCCCCTCCCACACTTCTATATAAGTCTGCCTTACATAGCTTTATGAAGATTTAATATTCATTTACAGTTTATTAACAACATCTATACCCAACCTTTCTACTCAGTCAGGGCCACCAAGGTGGCAACATTTCCTCATCTATCGCAGAAGACTATTCAAAGTACCCAAGTGGCAAAAGAAAAGACCCATGTTCACTACACTGTCTTCATGCCAACTCCAAAAAACCCACACTGCCCATTTAAGGCATCATGTTAAATAGCAGCTTAACTACGTCAAACCATTTTGGGCCCTGCATTCATTTAGCAACATGTATTCTAATCAAGGAACAAAGTCTTAGTTTTCTAAGCCAATACTTAGAAATCCAGTATATCACAGTTCTATTGAAAAATATTGGGACTTTTCTCTACAAGGTGTGTTATAATCATTTCTGGCAGCATCAGACTCCAATTTAGGGTTCCTTTATACATATATTATGGGGAAATAATGTTGATGACAGACAATGAACAAACTTAACTTTTCCTCTAATAGAGAATGAAGAGAGGTAAGTTTCTACCCCATTATGCTTGGGAGCAAGTGCAGAACACTGAAAAGAGTCCAAGAAACCTTAAGCTATGCTTCCTTTGACCAGGGAGTAATGCTTTTGCACTGTGCTACCCTGCCTCATAAACAGCAGAAACAGAATAAATTATGCAAAACTTAGTGACAATGGCAGAAATTCATATGGAAGAAGGGATGAGCATCTGACCAAAGCAGGACACAGAATTTGCATTACTTTGGTACAGAGTTTAGTGGTTATTTTTAGAACTTTCTACACCAAATGAGAAGGGAGCACTCACTGGAGAAGACCCTGATGCTGGGAAAGATTGAAGGTCAAAGAAGACGGGGACGGCAAAGGATGAGATGGTTAGACAGTGTCATAGATGCAACGAGCATGAAGTTGAGCAAACTTCAGAGGATGGTGGAAGACCGGAAGGCCTGGTGTGATCTGGTCCATGGGGTTGCGAAGAGTCAGACTCGACTGTGCGACTGAACAACAACACTCCACCACTCTCGTTATCATGAAAAATGTGGCAAGGAAAAGTTCCTAATTTTCAGGTTATGCATATTTGTATGTAAATAGACTTGTTTTGAGTGTGTGATCACACATGCAATACTGTCACTGAAGAATCCCAAAGATATTCTAACTCTGTTTATAAAGATTTTTAAAGATGTATTCAAACATCTAAGTTAGAATCTGTTTATAAAGATTTTTAAAGATGTATTTAAACATCTAAGTGGCCATTCTGCTAGGAAACCTGAATTCCTTCAGCCAGATTTTCATAAATATTCTCATCATTTGGAAGACATTTCACCAATAAGAGTGAAAATAGTCCATAAAGCGAAGAGCACTATAGCAATAAATTATCTCCCTCCCCCGCCCAAACTTTTAAAAGGAAATCCAGTTCTTCTATTACATTTAATAAGCGGGACTATTTCAAAGGGTGAGTATGAGATTTAATGTATTTTGAACTGGCCTTTAAACTCTGTATTTCATTTTTTAAAAAACACACATTACATTTGACAGGAAAGTTGAGATGCTTTTGCCAAATTAATTGCAAATAATGTGGGTAAATCTATCTGGCTTTAAAAGATCTTCCAATCAGTTGTTGGCAATTCAACATGCTTTGCTTCTGCTAGTCATTTCCATTACACCCAGTTTCCCAGCTACAGCTGGAACAAGGATATTTATTCTTCTTTCAATGGGGTTAATAAGCGGGACTATTTCAAGGGGTATGAGATTTAATGTATTTTGAACTGGCCTTTAAACTGTGTATTTTGTTTTTTTAAAAACACACATTACATTTGACAGGAAAGTTGAGATGCTTTTGCCAAATTAATTGCAAATAATGTGGGTAAATCTATCTGGCTTTAAAAGATCTTCCAATCAGTTGTTGGCAATTCAACATGCTTTGCTTCTGCTAGTCATTTCCATTACACCCAGTTTCCCAGCTACAGCTGGAACAAGGATATTTATTCTTCTTTCAATGGGGGAAGCTTTGGGGTCTGTAATAGCTTTAACATTTGTCTGACCCTAAGTGAAATCCCCAATCAATAAACAGATGATCTTCTGCTTTAATCAGAGCTGCAATTGTGTACCTCATACTTTAACGTGACCTTTTAATAAGGAAGTAGCTGGGGAAAAACATTCAGTCATGTTTACAGAACCCATGTCTTAGAAGGTTTTATCTGCTGTCTCTTTTAGCAAATTGATTTTTGTCTAGTTTAAACACAGACACTTCATCAACTCAGCAAGACTCATCTACCAACACGCAGCCAAAGACTTAATATTTCAGCTGTTTTTCATCCACTAAACTGATCTCAGCTCAAGATCATGCAAGTAAGGTTCTTCTCTATTTTGTCCCCTAAAGTCCCCAAAACCCACTTTTCTAACAAACATTTAAAAAACTCATGACATCACCTCTAAATTGAGATAAAAGCCAATTTCAAGTAACAACAGATGTTGGAATTACTGTTTTCCTAAACCCATTTTAAATACACACTTATCACTCACACTTAAGATGGACAACAAGTTATTTGAAAGGGAGGGGGGAAAGTATTATTTGGTTAGCATGGAAGAACAACATCAAAGTTTAACAAATGAAAGATAATGGTAAGACATCTTTCTCCAGCGATGGACTTAAGAAGGCTTACAATGATACAAAACCCTTGTAAACCATTAAAATGGGACAGTTGTGAAATAGAAAAGCAAAAACTAAATAGTACAATGCAAAGAACTCTTCATGAAAAATTCAGCCTCCAACAAAAAAGGCCTTCTTAAATTTTTTTAAACAAAGTGGATGCTAGCATTGCCAGCCCCCAGGTGGGAGTGGGGGATCCCCCAAATTTGCAGGCTCCTGCCCACCACTGGCCAGCTGGTGACATCACTTCCATGTGACATCATCACATTGGGGGCGTTGTGCACGGCGAAGTCACCCTGCCCCCCCACCGGCTAGGAGGTAAGATCTGGCAACCCTGATGGGATGCATTCTTGACTTACTTAGGAAAGCCATTCATAACGCGGGAAGCCATCATAGAGAAAAGGCTCAGCTGTATTTTTGCCTGTTCTGAACATTAGAAATGCAGGAATTGCTTTGCTAGATGACCAATAATCCAGTTCTGTTGGCATTCCGTTTCCAAGAGTGGCAAGAAAGGTGCCTCTGGGAGATCACAAACGGCACCGATGCTAATGAGCATCCATGTTTATTTCAGGCACCTAGCGCTCTCTTCATTGCCTCTGAACAGGAAAGTTCCACTTTCCCCATTATGGCTAGTAACCATCGAAGTGGCTGACCTTTAAAAGGTCACAGAACTCTGAATTGTTAGCATTCCGAATCCGGTGGAGAGGTTCTTCAAAGATTTTGTTCTGACTTCATGGAAGTAGGGGCAGAGGCAGCGCGCATATTACTGCTCTCCCACCTGGCAATCTTTATGTTCATGGATATGATGTTTTGAAAAGAACCATCTTGTGTTACAGCGACTTTAAAATAATAAACCCTGACAGCATTCTAACTCACCACACTGAGAAGTTAACACCCCACTCATACAAACAAGCAACTACTCGGTGACCTCTTTAAATGCAACAATTTACAACTGGACTATAAAGTAACCTGTGTGCATGTCTGCATGTGAATACAGAGATGCTCATCCTGTTCATCTGTTGATTCTATCATGCCATTGTACGCTGTAAGAATGGGTAGTAGGATGAACTCTGCCAAATACAAGCTGCCACTCAAACTATTGTGGAAATTTACACTTAAAACGGCCTATCTTCCCGTGAGGTCAATCAAACTTGGAAGAAAGTTAGAATAAGCTAAGGTCTGTGGATCCTATTTGTTTATATAAGACTTTAAAAAAAGGAAAAATATCCAGTGATGTAACAAAAAATAAATAATATCTTTAATCTACTTAAAATGAATTAGACGATAAGATAAATAATAATGAATTAGACAATAAGAAGAGAAGAAGAGGAGATTGGATTTATACCCTGCCCTTCACTACCCGAAGGAGCCTCAGAGTGGCTTACAATCTCCTTTCCCTTCCCCTCCCCACAACAGACAAGAGAAAGAAGAAGAAATACAGCAATAGACAGCAGTCATTGGTTTGAACTAGGCCTTCCTCTTTAACAATTTACTGGAATGACATTGTGGAACACCTCATCCATTTCCTAAGATTAAAGAACACACATTCCAAGCAGAAATGGACATGGTGCTGAAAAATCACCTGATATCACCTGCAGATAAGCAGTCTGTCACATGGCAAAGCCCTTAGATGCCTACATTTCAGGTGATACTAAGGCTAATGATTGTGTGTTCTGGAATCAGAGGAATTTGGAAATTAACTTATCTGGAGCGTAAAGTACCCATGACACTATGTGCACGTGAGATCCCTGAAAAATCCAATCGTCTGTTTGCTCATACCAAAGATGTACACGCATGCAAAGTACATGCATTGCCCCTGTTCACACAACACGGTGACCATACCTCTCAG